GCCACCCCCTGAAAAATAGTAGCAAAACACCGCAGAAATAACCAAAATATCCACGTATCTCTAGAATCATTCAAATATCATCCAATTCATTCAAATACGCACCTTTATCATCAAATCTGCACCTTTATCATCAAATCTGCTAATATGCCCCGCAACACCCACCGTTCTACTGCCTCGCAAGCTCGTAAAAGGACTCCAACTACCCTGCGCCTTCGTCTGTCCAAACCGCCTGTTCCGGATGTTCCGGATAACGACGAGAATCCAACTGATGATGAGAAGGAGGATAAGGAGGAGGAGGAGGAGGAGACACAGTCAGAAGATCCTCGATTTCTGCGAACACCTACCCCTGAGCCTGAGATCTCATTCAAGCTATATGAACGGGTAATTATCAATAGGATAAAGGAGCCTATAAAGATCAAGTTACGGAATGTCACAACAAATGATATGACTGTCAGCTTCTATCATATTCAATATACTGCAAAAAGAATAGCTGAAGAGTATGTTATGAAGCAGAACTGCAAGGAGATAGAAGTTGCAAATTGTATAGCAGTCATCTCATCAAACAAACATGGATCTTCAATCAAAATCACCCTTGAGAAGGAGACAGATTGGAGAGAGATTATCACTTTTTTGAAGAAGTTATATAAGGAGAATATGAGCAGATTTAGTATCAAGATTACCACCTCTTTTAATCTTCTTGATATCTCAACTCTATTTTCAAACACCTCTGTAATACGCGGTCCTGCAGCTTTCATTGGAGTGTCAGATTCCCAATTAACAACCCAGGCATTGGCATCAAAAAGAGCATTAGACGTCAAAGAAGAAGTAATCTCACCATCTGCCAAATCCCACTCTATCATCCTGCCAAATCCCCTCAAATTCATGAAATATCCGATGATGAAAAGCTGCCGCCTACGCATACAAGATCCACGGCCACTAGCCAGCAGCTGAAGAAGGCTCAAAATTGACAGTCAAATGAGCATGATTCTTTGTGGATTGAGCGTGAGATAACTGCTCACTGGCATTGTCAAAAGATGAATTGTCATAACTTTGAGCAGGGTACTTGTTGAATAGCTTTTGATGATACTCATATTCAACTCCTGAGTAGCGAGATTGCCAGTTGGATAGATGATGTTGAATGTGGACATGCAACAATTAAAAATCCCTCAAGAAAAATGATAAAAAGATTAATGAATAGAAAGAAGAAGAAGAAACAAAAAAGTGAATCTATCTCTGCTTCTAATCCTTCTATACAGACACCTCAGATGCCAGCAATTATATTTCCTTTCTCAACTCCTTCTTCATCTAATATTGTGTCTCCAAGTGAGATAATCAATGTGATGGTGATGAAATATATGATGGAAGGAATGGGAGGCATGGGAGGACTGAATTCAAACTTGTCATCGAATTCAAACTTGCCATCAAATCCGAACCTGTCATCGAATCCGAACCTGTCATCGAATCCGAACCTGCCATCGAATCCGAACCTGCCTCCTATTTGAAGTAGTCCAATCCCTCAGTTTGGTGAACACGCGGATCTGTTTATTGATGAGTTCTTCAACTGATTGATGACAGAGAGACCTCAAAGAGCAGAAGCTCTTTTAACTGCAAAGAGCATTATTCAGAATGAAGAATTTGAACTGAATCATATACAAACAATGACAAATGAGCAGGTGGTTCAGTTGAATATTGAAATGAATATATTCTTGATAATAAGAAATGAGTTAAAGAGTTCTATCTGACAATCACAGTTGAAGGAAATTAAATTGTCTTTATCTGCTGTTTATAATGATGACAGCAGATCTCATACTGCTTCTGCTTCTGAATTTGAAACTTAGATATTATATATCATAATTGAATTGCAATCAGAATCTTTTTAAATTTTACAATACTATCCTATATGAGCCGATCTGAAATATCCTCTTGCATCTTCTTCTCCCATGAAATTCTCAACTGCATGATGCAAGAAGGCTTCAAAATCTCCATCAAACTGATTCTCTAACTGACATCTGTATCTTCTAATCCATTCTTTCAACGCGTGAAATGACTCCTCTATAGGATTATAATCAGGAGAATATGGAGGTAAGAATAAAAGTCCAATGCCAGCTTCTCTGCAGAGATCTCGCAGTGCTTGTGAACGATGAGAAGAGCAATTATCCATCACTAAGTAGTGATAACCTCGTTGGCATTTGGGCAGTATCCGGACACGTACAAACTCATTGAACCTCTCTGTATTATAGGACCCCTGATATATATCATAATCAAGATATCCATCGACACTTATTGCAGGTAAGATTGACCATCTGCGAGATCGTTTACAGGGCCTTCTAATGCGACAAGGGAATCCTCTGCTTGACCATCCATATCGTCGATCTGCAGTACGTTCATTCGCAGCACTCTCATCTAAAAAGATAAGTTGATCAGGTTGATACTGAGTAACTTGAATACGCCATTCAGCTCGAAGTTCTTCGTTGCGTTGACTGGCCACAGGTTCAACCTATATCAAATAGAACTGACAGATTAGCAGGTTCTATAAGTGACAATTGCAATAATTAATCACCTTCTTCCATGTCAAATTCAGTTTCTTCAACAATCTAGATATCGATCGAGGGTGGATATCAACATCAAATTCATCCTTCACAAAGCAGAAAGCCTCATCGCGATATGCAGTTGGATATGCCTCAAAAAAGTCCTCCAAACCTGACAAGATATCCGGTGTGATCTTTGGCTTTACACCCCATGTTGAATGAGGACTTCTAGCAGTTTCAAAGCAGCGAATATTTCGTTGGATTCGATATACAGTGGCCAGAAGCACTCAATGGTCCGCGCAATCTGAGCAGGCATATAACCATCGTTTAGAAGGCGTACGATCTCATTGATGGTAAATTCACTGAGCTGGGGGGGCATATTGGCAGATTTGATGATAAAGGTGCGTATTTGAATGAATTGGATGATATTTGAATGATTTTAGAGATACGTGGATATTTTGGTTATTTCTGCGGTGTTTTGCTACTATTTTTCAGGGGGTGGCAGAAAATTCTGTTTTCGCAAGCTTTACGTCCGCCACAATATTTCCAACAAGGCTCCGCTGAGGCTGAAAATTCAGCGTTGGGTGGTATTCGATATTGTTGGTGTTGTGAAACCCAATCAACATGCGTCATTCTAATTTTTTGCCATCGATTTCACTTACCAAGTAGAGAATCATTCTCGAAAACAATATCTGCTGCTATCCTAGATCTGGAGATCCTTGAACTCGGGCCTGCAAACTGGAGTCACACTTACGTCGTGGTTACTCAAGCTACGACCCCTGCGTGGGTATGTGCAGCAAAGTTGACAATAGCAATGTAACAAAAGCGCACCACAGCTACGAAGCTACCTTTACCCAGCCCTTCTACTCTCTTCTCCTCTCCCTCCCAACCGTGTTCCCCGACAGAGAGAAACAAACGAACAAAAAAAAAAAAAAAAGAAAACAAAAAAAACTCCACAAAAGCAATCCGTCCAGATATCAAGATTGTTGGCCCCTCCACTCACTAGCACGGGTTATCTCTCCATATCCCCCCCCCCCCACCACCAGTGTCTCTTAATGTGCCCTCGTGCTGCAAAAGAGGCGCTGCTCGATTTCCATTCAATCTCAAACGTCATTGTCCAATGTTTTTATGGGAAAGCACATATTCCATTTCTCAGAATGCGATTTTCTCCCCAGCCGCTGTCATGTCAACCAATGGCTGAAAACAGATTGTTCTAACTCTGGCTGGGGCATCCTTGCCTCCGCAACCAGTCCTCTTCTTTACACACACACAGACACACACACAAAATTAGATATATGGAGATGACGAATTTCAATACCCCTCAAATGGGACCTCCTTCAACGAAACCAATAAACGTTCGGCAAGTTGGTTTATAGTGTTGGCTTCCATCTGCTACAAATGTATCGGTCGAGGTGGGTCGTTCCCATGGGACTATGCAAGTCCAAATCGAAAGGCCTAGTCCGATCTTGTCTACGCTCAGTCCTTCGCAATCCAATTGGCACCATATTCAGCTCAGTTGCCGTTCTCTTTTCTGCGCGTCCTGTCCTCAAACGTTGGGCTTCGGCTGAAGTGGTCATAGGATGACAGTTTGTTCCTTACAGTTTCTGTCGCTCCTTTCATTTCTCGCTTGCTTTGCTGGTATTAATGAAATCGTTTTGCCTAATGTTGATTCTGGATAACTGAATGGCCACATAAATGTAGTGGTGCCCCTAATATTAATGGGGTCCGGTTTTATGGCATTAAGTTATCGGCTGCATGTAATCGAGTACCTCCGATATGGGTCCTCAAAATATATGATACAAAGCTGAGCAAGAGATTGTTGTTGCTGAGTGGGAATTCCATTCCTTTCTCTCGGTTTTCTGGTTGCGGATCCGTTGTACTAGAGTGAATATACTATTATGTCTGCATGGAAATATATGTATGTAGGAACCCTTGCATGGAAAAAACGTGCGCGGACGTACTTGAGTCACTCAGTGCCATTCTGCATCTCCTGTGTTCAGTGCATCCTGCTCCTGTCTCTCCGCACACCATCTCTTCACAGATATCGTACAATGTGTGACATTGCACAGAACTTTATTTACATACGACACCAACGAAAAGTTGGACACAGTGGACGAGGCAATATTAGAATATATATATAAAGGTAAATGCGAGACGGAGAGTGTTAAGTAGCTATGAAGAAAAATTAAAGTGGGTACGATTAAGAGGAATAGAATGTGGCTCCTATCGTAGTACTTCGAGGAGAAAGAGAAGCAAACAAACTTCTCGTCATAAGGTCCGGGAGATGTGTGCATGACCGTAGCCCGTAGTAGCCGGCCCGAGCTCGAATCTTGACTTGCTTTTTGAGAGTGACTTTTTTTTTTTTTTTTTTTTTTTTTTTTTTTTTTCGGTATGCCTGAGGTCCTACATAATATATACAATACATGGATTGATTGTGGTCGGGTTTGGCGCTACTTCCTTTCATCTATTGACATGTTGGAAGTAGGAGGATGTGCGTTGGAGGGACGGGATGAGAAGTTGAAAAGGGAGCCAGGGGGCGTAACTGAATATGGCTTTCACGGAGATTGATCAAAAGCCAAGTTCTTAGGGGAGTTAACTTGTGTGTTTCAGACCAGAGGGAAATACATATCTTTTCGTATTTAAATTGGGTTCCATAAACTTTCCTTCGTCTAGACACAACTCAGAAGGAGCTGAAGGTAAGAAAGCGAGAAGGAAATTTCTCGCCTGGTACGTAGATACGTATGTTCTGGCCATGTATGCAGGTGACAGTATGTATACGTCCCCCAATGCATACACCTGCATCCTGTGTAGTCCTCACTTGCTGAGGCTGTGTGTGTGCTGGAAATGCGCTCCTGGATTGTGGGCAGAAAAGAGCGGAAGAAAGTCGGATCATATCCCATACTTTTGTCCAGTCGGCTATTGATTCGGGAGGTGTGTTCACCATCCAACTGCTAACCAAATTTCGCTGGCAGTTGGCCAGAATGGAAAAAAAAGAAAAATGACATTTGAAGCTGTCTTACTGATGTAGATATCCGGCGAAGCGGCACAGGTTTCTTCCAGCAGCATTTGATAATAAATGTTGAGGGAATGGTGGTCTAGGTGTCATGGGCCTGGAGAATGTATTTAGACTCGGTGATAACTACACCCACCCGTCCACGGCTGATGGTGGACGTAACTTCAATGGATATTGCGGGCGAGTGACGCACAACAGTAGTAACCGAGAAAAGCTGGAAGCTCTATGGTAATAGTAAATGCAAAGTGAAGACACCTAATTAACAAACAGAGAGCCAACATAGTTAAAAGTTACTAAGTACAGACAATACATGCATCGAAGATGAAGGGGGCCGAGGACAAAAATAAGTAAGAACAGGAGAAAGCAACACAGGGAAAGAGGCACCTAGAACTGGAAAAAAGCAAAAGATAAGTTTAAAATAGAAAATTCGTTAGAAGGCCAAACATCGATCGATAATACATGACCGTTAATCGAGGACAACTTTTGGCCTTTTTTTTGAGGGGGAGGGGTTCATAAAGTCATCAAGGGCATGCATGATATAGGAATCAGCCCTGGAAAATCATGGCGGCATGTTCGTCGTAAAATTTCTATCGTAACCAAGTACAAAATATTGGGATGCGGAAAAAAGGAAATGGGTCACGGTAAAATCTATGAAACCATCCGAAAATATACAAAGACGGTGGCCTGAGCCCATTTCTCTCGAGAACGCTATATGGGGATGTTATAAAAAGAAGTAGCAAACCAGTGTACTCCGTTAACGTTTGTGAATGACGTTGGAAGGGACAACAAGAGTTCATCAAAAGTGGTTGAAGAAATTAAACGGAACAATTAGTGTCTACCCATCGAATGGGTACCTGTGAGATCAGATCTTACCATATCTCGAATCACCCACCTCCATCCATCACCAAGTGTTGTACGGTCCGGAGTGATCCACTTACTGACCTTCCGTCTCCATTTCTCCTCCTCCGCACGTTGCCTCTTGATGAACTCTGGACCAACATCGAATTCCTCTGTAATTGGCCATTCATCGGATGATTCGCCAGCGCTCTTGTCTTCCAAATTAGCGATGTTGTCCAGCGCTGCCATATCCTTCGAGATTTGCGCTGTCCTGGAAGCATTATTTGACTTTTGCTGCATTTCCTTCAAATCATCTAGGCCTTCTAGGACGTCTTCTTCGTCAGGAGCGAGTGTGATGACCTCTTTGCCCTCTTTGCCGGATTGGGTTGCGGCAACTTTTAACCAGCACATGCGCTGAGGATCAAATACCATTCCGCCGACGACTTGGACGCCCGAGGTAGCCCCAACATTGGTGATGAGGGCAGGGGCAGTCCTGGGTGATCTTGGCGATGGGATCGGTTCAAATTCAACTGTTGCATTTTCATTACCTTCCCACTTATATGTCGCCGGATTGTATCGCATTCCTTTGACGGCTGGAATGGCGTAAATTACATTAGTCATTGAAAAGTGGCAAATTGGATTTCAATGGACTTACATTTTGCTTCGTGGACGCCAGTACCCATAGGCTTTATAAGATGAGGCTTATGGTCACCAGAACCCTTCTCGCGACGATTCTTTATTGACGAATGAGATAGGACTCGCACAGAGGTCGAAGATTTCCAATTTGTGCTAAGTGGGACTAATGGAGTAATTTCGCGATTTTGAGTAAAGTTCATTGAAGCAATTCGCTGCTCCCTGGCATTCCTCGAGGCATTTGTATCTTGTGCAAATCGAGGAGTAAAGTCCTGCTTTGTAGGGCTAGTATGGGGACGAGGGATTGGGTTGTGAGCCATAGGGGGAGGGACAATATGAGACTGGCTAAGTCTGCTTCTCATAGACCTGGGAGCACCATGCCTGATTGGATGTTTGACAAACTTGCTTTCGAGGGAGGCTGAGGTTGGAAGATCATCGAAAATGTCCAATTCTGAGCCATCACCAAAATTTCTTCGCCGGTTAGGTTTAGTAATCGTTTGTTTCACGGTAGCAGCTAGAGATTCTGGGCCTAAATCAAATCGAAAACGACCTGGAGTATTGGGAGGGTCGCGGTTGGAAAGTCCAGATGTTGAACGCGGGTTCGAAAATAAGTCTGTAGAACTGTCCGAATCAGTGCGTCGATAATGTCGGGGAGTCTTAACGTTGACGTGGTGAGATTTGTTGTGTGCTGCTCCAGCTGGGAGGAAAGGAATAGAAGGGCGACGACCGCTAGCAACGCGAGATTCAGCGGTGGGTGTTTTAGGCCGAGACGAGTGTGTCCTCGTGGTACTTTCTTGACGAGAAGGGAGCCATGGAATGGGTGTTACCCCGGACTGATGTACGTTACGCAATACTGGTACAGATCGCTTCGCCTTCATGAGCTGGGCATTGGTAATAGTGGGCGAAAGCCGTAATGTCTCCCCAGATGTCTTGTTTCCTGGCGACCTACGACCCGGAGTCTTCTGGGGTGGGGATATTGATGGTGGACTGGGGAGAGGAATGCTTGAAAGAGACGAATGCGCACTATGGCCACTCAAACGCGAGCGTGGCCGTCGATATTTGGGGAGTGGCACACCACTTTCCGAGACGGGCTCAAGATGCGTAGAACGAGGACGCTCATGGCCGGATAACCTGGGAATACGAGTAGTAGGGGGTACTGGAGTTTTGTTGGTGAAGGTGATGCTGGTGGCGGTACGCCTCGCAGGACTTATAGGCCTGCTATTTTTGCGTTTGATATTGCGGTTCAAGGTCAGTTTACCTGAATCAAAAACCTCGCCATCCCCGATTTCAATGCCAGAAAAGAAATCATCATTAGTGGGGGAAGCACGTCTTGGGCTTTGGTGTGGTGCAGAAGTTTGAGGCGACTGTGACAAATGAGATTGCTGTCTCCTCTTGATCGCTTGTTCAAGATCCAATGGGCCATCAGGCAGAAGGAGGCCATCAAGTCCATCATCTTGACTTTCAGCAGTTAAGCAACTTGAGACACTTGGGCTAAGTGCTGAGACAGTGGAACTACGATTAGAAAAGCCATCTCTCTTCGTCCCACCAAAACGCACTCCGATACTGCCCTCAGCCCATTCCGTATCAAGGTCATCAAGGGAAGGTTCTGGGGATTTGATTCTATCCTTCCTTGTTGAGAGCTTCAAAGGTTCGCCATCAGCAGGGAATTCCAGATCAACCTCAAAGCTTTCGCCATCCTCGATTGGTTTTGTCGAAGGTGCTGGGATGATGGTCTGTTGCGGTCGTGATTTTGCAATTTTGATAGTTGGGACATCGTGGAAAGAGCTGTCATCTTCTGTATCACGAAACCGATCTAAATTGGCAAAGTTCGGTTTTCGCGGCGGGGAAAGACTATCGTTGTTAATGATAAATGGATCCGAATCAAAATCGCGAGCTTTAACAGGGCTCAAGTCAGAAAACGACCCAAGATGGAGTAAAGAATCTGGGAACGTCTCTTTGCGATTAAATTTCAGTTCAAGGTCCCCCTCAACGCCAGATAACTCAAGATCTTCTGACCAATCGTCTCCTATGGCCTTTTTGAGTTTTCTGCCACCAAGGCGCTTTATCGTACCACCAAGCAGTGCCGAACTTGGGACATCGGTAGGGAGGGGGATGCCTGCGCTTTGGGCAGAAGAGATTGCGTCCTTTGTTGCAGCCTCATCATTGTCATGTAACAACAACTGCCAATCTTCATCGCCACCATTAGAATCTAAATCAGATCTGCAGGAACGACGAGAAGATATAGAGTCACGGTGGCCGGATGGCCGGAAGGAAGACGATCCTGTCACGGAAGTACCGGCAGAAACAGTACGGAACTGGATATCATCATTACACTGTAGATGTTCGTCGTCGTCCCAGCATTCGATTGCTTCGTCTGTTTCTTGAGGTTGGCGCAGCCTCAGAGGAGATGTCTCCATGGTGAGATAATCCCCAGCTGAGCTGGCTCCTCTGTAGCTGTTGTAGCTTGTGTATTCAAGATAATTTAATTCTATCTGCGTAAGATAGTGTTAGGTAGGACTTCTTGTGCTTGATAGTGAACTCGAGACGTTGACCTCGGCAGACACGATACAAGGGAGGATGACAAGTCATTCCGTGCCGGTCTTGCCACCTCTTTGGAATAGGATTCTAGTAGGCTTGGGGTGGTTGGGCCGAAAACAACAGAGGGAGTTGTTCGATGGAAGAAAGTTGATCATGAGCCTGAGAAGTCGATTTTGCTGCTTTGGGATTTGAGCGAGATACAGTCGAAAGCTCCCAACCTGGCTTTTCTCATGTATAGTGGATAGAATTATCGTAGACAGGAGCTGATTAAACAGGTTATACAAGGCTGGCCTAGATTGTTGAGCTTGTGTGGAACTTGGAAATTGGGCAATGGGCAACAGAACGAGGACAGCTGGATATAGTTGGGATCGAAATTGTTGCAAATTGGGAGGGCAACAGCTGGGACGGTGGCTGGGACGTAAAGTATCCAAGAAACGGAATGGTAGTGTTGGGTTAAACGGTGAGTCTCAGTATTATATCTTTTGTTATCGTTGCTTGTTGTCGGCTTTGTGGTCCTTTGAGTGTTCCCAGATCCCAGATTCCAGAGCAGGAGGTTGGGACCAAGCGCGGAGATCGAACGCGCTTAGGCGGCTAGTCTGGAAAGGGTTCGTTAAGCGAGGGTCAGCGCGTCGTCTCACGCGTAACCTTGGTTTTATATCATGTGATTGTATGGTAAGTTTGGTAACTTGAAGCTATTCCTTGACGGTAATTACATCACTGTTGCCTGCAATATCAACTTCCAAGGTTATCTCAAGCTTGCCTCCATGTGGCCACAAACAACAGCTTTTCCGTAGGCTAATTCAGTTGTCCATATGATTTCTCATATTTCTGTAAATCATGACAAAAGAAACGATTCTGCGCATACAAAGAAGTGATAGTCTTGGTGACTTTGTCTTGGTTAAAGTTGCTAGGTCAGGCCGCTCAGAGCTTGATCTAACACTGGTTGCCACAGAGGGGGAAGCTCCGTATTGGGGTTTAGGTATAGCTAAACATTGGCACTTATCTGTAGCCAAATTTGCTAATATCATTGATCTAGTGAAATCGACTCAGATTGATAAATTGCGCGCCAAAAATTACCAAGGCACTGTCGACGAGTGGGCGGGCATTCTTGCATACGCACTTGGGCAGAAACAGCCTGCATCGGTGCCCGAAGAGCATAAGGCAGGGTTGGAAATTGCAGCCACAGTCAAACAAAACGAAGATGATGAGAGCGAAAAGGAGATTGTCGTCACTTTGAGAAAGAGAATCGATACAATTACTGTATGTATCATCTAGTTCGAACTCGTTGACTTCATCTGACAAAGTTCTGACACTCACCTATGCTTTAGCAAAGATTGGGAACCATATCTCTCAAGCAGGATGATGATCAGGCCATCCAACTTTTTGACTGGACTGGTCTGGCAGTGACGCGGGCGGATGAACTGGAGGAAGGACTAGCCTCCTTAACTGCTAAATATGATGCAGTAGAAACCACCATTAACAAGCTGAACTCGCAATTGCAGGAATTAATAAAGGTCAAATCGGAGCACGATGACCAGTTGATTGCTAAATTCGCCCAGCTGTTAAATGAGAAGAAGTTGAAAATTAGGAATCAGCAACGCCTGCTAGCCTCTGCAAAGATTGATCCCGCGACAGGTTCGCGTACCCATCTCTTTTGTTCTAGGTTCCCTTGCCTTGTTTTCTATGCTAAAGTTTTTCATCTAGTGCATGAGATGAGAACTTCTGATCCCTCAGAAATTGGGAGTTCAAGGCAACGCGGCAAGCGCAAAGCAGAAGAACCTTCCATATCGTCAGAGAGCGATGATGGTTTTGACACAATGGATATAGACAATATTGGGAAGAAGGGTAATGCTAGTCGAGAGAATGAGGAAGAGGGTGAGGGTGACGAGGACAATTCTACGGATTCAGAAGGACAGGAAACCCCGGATCCACTCGAGGATGAAACTGCTAGCGAAGATGAAGTAGAAGCGCCGACAAAAGCTCCTAGTCCTCCACCAGCTTTAAATGGTGGAAAGAGGGCTACACGTGCGTCGCCAAAGCAACCGACATCTTCGGCAACTACGACAAAGAAGACGTCCAGCCCTCCACCACGTCGAGAGCTTCCCTTTACAAGGAAGCGGGGTCCCGTGAAACCCAACCCTGCGGAGCAGGGTGATTCTGGTTCTGACGATGAGTTGTGATGATCTTTACAGATTGATTTTAGCCAACCATACCATTACTCTATTTTGAGAGATGATTTATGCTCTGTGCCGGAGTCAAATGGCAATCACTCATGCAATCCCGGCAGACAGCGCGGGACTGTCTATACCAATATCTGACGGTGGTGTACATGATCTAGTTTGTAACCTGGTTCTTCTCTTCATTACTCATGTCCATCATTGGGTAAAGGCTCCACTGTCAATATCATTGGTGACGGTTAAAAGGAGACACTGACCCCCATCGCCTACTGTTGTATAACCATACATATAGAGGACATCTCCTAACATCCCCCTGATTCAGTTCTTGGGCTCAACCACACTTTCACACTATGCCTTGGGATTTAATTATGTCATGCTGGAGGATGCCCATGTATCTCCCCGAACGAACAGCTCGAACACCTCAAACGAAATCTAGTTGATTCATACGTTCCTGTACTAAGGGTTCACAGAATGATTTTGCTATCATTCTTCATTGGCATATCGTGGTCCTTCTCCGGAACCTGAAAGTAAAGGTATGATGAAATTGGGAAGTATGGAGTAAGGTACATGATAGAAGCTACTAGAGTAATACATACAGACAGTCACATCCTCCACCAAATTTCTTCCACCTTCTAGTTATTTCCCTTTTTCCCCGCCTGTCTTTGCTTTCCTCTCATCCTCTCATCCTCTGAGCCTCATTTTTCACCAGCTTCCAGCCTCCCCCTTTTGTTGTACATTTCTCCTCTCGCCTCTCCTTCCCCTGCACTAAACAAAAGGCAGTCTATACCCTCTCACGATCTAGCACTTTCCTGTAGACAATATTTTTACATAGGTACACAACTACCTACCTCTCCTGTATATAGAAATTGACGAAAGAAACCAGAGAGTATGTGAGAGTGAGAGTGAGACAGAGTGAGAGTGAGAATATGATAAGTGAAGAGGTGCAGGGCCTAGAAAACAATGTATTCCAAAACAAACACACACACACACACACACAAAAACAAACAACAAACCAACTAAGTAAGTGAAAGAAAAGGCTTAAGAATGAACCATTATAAGCATTGGAGGAGCGCTTGAATAAGAAATGGAAAAATGCTTTGCTCATTTGTTGTGGTTTTTGTATTGTTTCGTTGTTCTTTGGTCTTGATTTTCTTCTCAACAAAATAGGAATGGAATAAAGTAGAATAGAATAAATACAGCGCGAGAACAACAAAAGTTATATTATTTACTATGCACTTGAAACACCACCAAGCCGTTGCTGCTCCTCCACCGCACTCCCAATCATTAAGTTAGTATCTGGGTTTCCGGTCTCTTTAGCAGCCGAGCAACGTGCCATTGTCGGGGAACTGTGATAATGGTTAGCGTAAATAGCCAAATGAGGAAAAAAAAAAAAAAAAGAAAAAGAAAAAGAAAAAGAAAGAAAGAAAGGGATGGCAGGAGGGGAAAGAGTTGGCAAAGATCTCACCTCCTCGATATCGAATCTGTGAAGTAGAAATTATCAATAGCCCTCCTGAAAGGCTCATTCCCCACCGCAGCGCCTCGATTCTGATCCACAAGCTGCACTTTGCTCAACGCACTTATGTCTACTGAGGTATTTTCCACAACATCATACCTGCGCAGCACTGGAGAGATCATCTCCATACGATCCCGCAGCATTTCCACATCGTCATAAGGCAGCGGCGCGCCAAGGAATTCACTGGCTGCACGGATGATCTTCCAATCATCGCGGGCAGCGCCGGGGGGTGAAGTGGCAGCACGCGTAATCTGCACCCGACCCTCTGTGTTAACATATGTACCGGATTTCTCCGTGTAGGCAGTGCCAGGGAGGACCACATCTGCGAGTTGAGCACCGCGGTCACCGTGGTGCCCCTGGTAGACAACGAAAGCGGACTTGGGGATGTCTGTTTCATTAACTTCGTCCGCACCGAGGAGCCAGATCATCTTTGGCTGTGTGGCAGCGACGTCAGGGGATGGAGTTGTGAAGCCAACTTCGTAGGCGCCGGCACGAGAGGCGGCGCGTTGAAGGACATTGTAACCCTGCCATTCGGGGGTGTTGAAGGTCGCAGAGTTCTTATCAACGAAGGCACCGATGGTTTCGAAGATGGCTTTTGCATTTGGGTGTTCGGCAGCGGCAGAACCGACGATGACCATAGGTCGCTTGGCGGAGGCAAGAGTCTTGCCGAAGGGGCCTGTGAGAGCAGACTTGAGGTTTGCAGCTGTCGTGCCGAGGTGCTCGAAATCAAAGGTGCTGGCGAAGGTTTCGCCAACGAGGGCGATTTGGATGTCTGAACGGAGATATTGCTTGCGGATGCGGGCGTTGAGGACGGCAGCTTCATGGCGAGGATTGGTAGCGACGAGTAGGATGGCGTCGGCCTCTTCTATGCCATGAATTTGAGAGTTGAAGAGGTAGTTCGATCGTACATCAATCCCGTGTGCGATGGGGGCGTTCCCACCCGGCTGGTCGAGTGCCAGGTTGTCTGACCCTAGCTGGTTCGCCAGGTCTTTCATGGCAACTAGTGACTCGGTCTCGACGAGATGTCCCGCGATGGCCTTGAATTCATTGGCCTTTGGTGCAATCTGGCGGAAAGCGCCTCCGATCTCTGTCAGGGCCTGCTCCCAGGTAACCGGAACAAATTTGTTATTTTTCCTGACCAAGGGGGTGGTGAGTCGTTGAGTTCGCAATCCATCACAGGCAAATCGAGTTTTATCATTGATCCATTCCTCATTGACATCGTCGTTCAGTCTGGGAAGAATGCGCATGACTTCCATTCCGCGGGAGTCCACCCGAATATTTGATCCCAAAGCATCCAGGACGTCGATAGATTCAGTATGTTTGAGCTCCCAAGGTCGGGCTCGGAAGGCGTAAGGCTTCGACGTCAGAGCACCGACGGGACATAGATCGATAACATTGCCAGACAATTCCGAATCCAGATTCTTCTCCAGATAAGTGCCAATCTGCATATCATTTCCTCGACCAGTAGTCCCAAGCTCTGGTGCACCAGCTATGTCGTTTGCAAAGCGGACGCAGCGTGTGCAGTGAATGCACCGGTTCATCGAAGTCTTGATCAATGGCCCAATGTTTTTATCCTCCACTGCTCGCTTGCCGCCTACTTCATGGAATCGTCCACGGTCCGCACCATATCTCATCGATTGGTCCTGTAGGTCGCATTCGCCTCCTTGATCGCAGATAGGGCAGTCCAAGGGATGGTTAGCGAGGAGGAATTCCATGACTCCTTCTCTCGCTTTGTGTGTAATGGGGGAATTGGTTTTAACTACCATTCCTGGTTGGACTGGCCACGCGCATGACGCCACTGGCTTCGGAGCTCGTTCTACCTCGACTAGACACATCCGACCTGTTCTGACCGTTAGAATAGCATTCGCTACTTTAAAGGAGTAGTCATACGCACAGTTTCCTGCAATCAATAGCTTCCTGAAACCATACTTAGCAACCAAGTTTACCCGGCAGGGGAAGGAAATGGGAAAAACCCCTCAAATAAATTCAACTTACTCATGATAACAATATCTGTAATTTCAGTTAGTCAGTAAGTTAAATAAATCAAGGTCATAAGGCCATTGATTGGACATACCGAGGAATTGTAACACCTGCCTTCTCACACGCTTGAATCAAAGCAGAGCCAGCTGTTTATACCAACAAAAGTCAGCATACTTCCCAACCCTCACCACCGCCATTTAAATCCAATCCGATTCATTGCCAGTATGTCCATCCCGAACGATCTCTACAAGGCACCAACCTTCTATCGAAACCTTCTTCCCATCTGTAATAGAAAATCTGCAGGTCAGTAATTCATCCGTATCCAATCCATATCCATATCAATACCTCCCCAAGTTGAAATCCACGCACCAATAGTAAGTTCCACCTCTGCTGGACGCGGCACCGTAGTCGCAAACGGCCTCGACCTCCCTGCTCCCGCCGCATAACTGATGTGACCACAGTAATAACCGGATCCACCGCAAGAGTGGCGCAGGGAGGGCGAGTGCTGTCTCCTCGACCTGGCCGCCGCACGCAGGAATTGCGGCCGCATCTTCTTTTTGAAGGTTTAATTCGGGGGTGTCCCCAGGAAACAAAAAAAAAAGATTATTGACTCAATTGACAAAAGAAAAGGCGTAGGGGTTGCGTGGGAGGGTGGTGTATAGCTGAACCCTCCGTCGTCAGGGCACAATTGATATCCTTCCTCTGTACCTCTTTTTTGGTATGTGCAGTTTTGGGAACTCGATGCGGCTCACGTGATAACCTGCTTGCCAAAATGACATATCCGCGGTGCCGATTGGCCAGAGGGGAACAACGCTTCTCCGGCCCGCAAACGGGCCGATCACATTTAAAATTTTCCTTGTTTTGTTCTCTCTCTCTTTTTTTTTTTTTTTTTTTTTTTTTTTTTTCATTTTCACGAAAAATTATACTCATTACGGACATTATTTATTGTAGGAGGAAGGGAAGTTTATACTTTCCGCACCCTTCCTCCTCTACAGAATGCTCCAAGAGCAATGATAAATGGCGCCGTAGCTGGAGCGGCTTAGGGGTTCTTTTCGAAGAGGCTCAATGAGGATGTTTTTCTGTTCCTTACCGACGGCTGCTACATACGTATGTATTTATATTCTGGATCGGTGGATGATGGCTGCTGGGCGGATGATGAATATTGAAATTCTTGGGAATGCTTAGGATATTGATGAATTGATCTTGCAGAATAACACTACTGGGTTTTTTTATTTCCCCTCAGCTTAGCTCGTCAGTGTATTTTCACTCAGTCAACAAAAATAAGTGGAAGTAGCTAGAGCTCACTGGATTCCCTCACAACCAGCATCAACCAACAAAGCAAGTTGATCATTCAGCAATATCACAATATTTACAAAAACCTCTCTTTTTGAATAGTGTTGTCCCTTTGGAAATCATCTATTGTGATAGGCCTTACAGAAAGGATGATATAAATTAATACAAGAAAAGGGGAACCCTTGTCAGAAGTCAAGGCAAAATAGTCGCGTTAAAGATGAATTAAAGCAATAAAAAGCAAATAAAGTCCAAAAATAGGGCACAGAAGAAGTATTAGGGAAAAGAGGAAACTGCATATCTATCCAGGAGTCGTCCTCGTTCGGAGTATAATAAAAAAGAAAGAAAAAAAAATTAATCCGAACTTGTAAAGGAGAATACATGTACATAGCAAGTAGGGGCATAATGCGCATTTAAACGTTGGAAGGCGCCATGTAAAACGGAACTCAGAACAAGAAGTAATAAAATAGCAAAAACTCCGCCCTCCTTTTAGATTAATTTTAGCTCAGCTGATTTTTGTCCGCCCTTTCGAGAAGATAAGAGGATATGAAGTAATAGAGGATATGATAAATTTGACGTGATTGGAAAGAGGTGGTGGGGAAATCGATCAATTATACAAATTGAGAAGAAGAGATAAAGCGAGAGGGAAAGGGTGAAAATATGAGGAGGCAGGTACTCTCATGTGTATATTGTATCAGTTTTTTTTTACAAAAAATGAATGGGGGGGGGGGGGGGGGGGGGTTGTACAGCGTTAGATAAAACAAACACCACTGTTTCGAGGAAGAAATGAAAGCAAGCCCTCGCGAAAGAAATGAAAACTTGGACTCCTGAACAAAGCATCAATTCTATTTAGTTTTTTGGTGGCGTCGCCTGCAAATCACCTTCCTGCCATGTCGACTCTTGCTTTGTCCCCGGAGGCAACCATACAGCACTTGTCTTCCTCGCAGGTCCATTTCGGCTGGGTGACACTTGATCCTTCTCCTCTCGAACT